AGTATTACAACTGTTCTCCAGGAGGGAGGGGGGAGGAGATGGAAAGCTGAAGTCAGAGGGGCAGATAAAGGTAGGTTGATGGTTGGCTGGGAAGGTGATAGGCTTGCCAACTCCAGACTGGGAAATTCCTGGAGATTTGAGGGGTGGAGCTTGGAGAGGGTGGGGTTTGAGGAGGGGTGGGACCTCAGACTGGTACAATGCCATAGACTCCACCTTCCAAACCAGCCATTTCCTCTTGGGGAACCATTTTTGCCAATCTCCAAGGGAGGGCTGGAGATCACTCAGAATTATAACTGCTCTTCAGATAGTAGAGATCAGTCCTCCTGGAGAAAACAGTAAGCTCTGTGTCATTATACCCTGCTGAGGTCACCACAGAAAATTGACACTGAGTGCCCAATGCCAGGGTACCTGCCCAGAGCCTCTTTCTAGAGCTCGTTGTATTTATTTCCACAATGGGCCTTATTCCTAGTTAAGGTATATTGGAGGAGGAGGTGATATGCAGGAAGAAGCAGTATGTGAAGGGGATGTCATGGAAATGATTTTTTACATGACTAAAGGGAAGCTAAGCAGGGTCAGCCCTGGTTAGAACTTGGCTGAAAGACCACCAAGGAAGTCCAGGGTTGCTACACAGAGGCAGGCAATGGCAAAAAACCTCCAATAGTCTCTTGCCTGGAAAATCCTATCAGGTTGCCCAGAGTTCCCTCTAAGGTGCACTAGAGGGTACTGATGCACAAAAGTTTAACAGGCAGCTCAGGGATTTCTGCTTCAGCTCACAAGGCACTTCCCCCCTCCATTGGAAACAATGGAATATGAGAGTGCCTCCTTCTGGGGCCCATAGAATTGGACCCTCTGGTCCAATCTTTTTGAAATGTAGGGGAGAGGGTTGAGATGAGGCACCAGCAGCTATGCTGCAATTTTGGTGCCTCTACCTAAAAACCCCAGCCCCCCCCCCCCGAAAAAACACCCCCGCCCCCCCCCCCCCGAGCCTCAGATAACCCCCAGATCGATTCTCCATTATAACCTACGGGGCCTATTGACTATTATGGTCCCCATAGGCTACAGTGGAGCTGGAAAAAAGTGGTTTTTTTTCACGCCCCTATTATGCTTTTCATAAACCTAATTTA